CACAAGATTGGCCCAAACAGACCAAAGTCCATTTTGTTTTGATTATTCACCACAATTAATCTACCAAATGGAGGTGTATTTGTGTTAAAAATCTGCAAAAAGGTCACTATCACCTCTCAACCAGATTGACTTGCAAGTCTCTCTAACCTTTTTATATTTTAAATATACGTATTTAATGTTTGGAAGTATTCCCATTTCTATTGCACTGTTTTATCTACACCATGGCTATCTCTATTCAGCCATCTACTCTTGCTCCAATGCTTATAAAACTCATTTATTTTCATCCACTCTGATAAGCTCTATTACTTATCTCAGTCCAATTATTTCGTCAATATTTTTCTGCATCCATTCGTTCCATGTTAGTTATTTGCAAACACTCCTCTACTTATTTTGATTCCCTCATTCAAGTTTATTGTCTCTATCCAGAATATATTAAATGTCCTTTTTGCATAAACTGCCTGACTTTTTTTTCTATTATGTATGTGATTAACTAAACAAAGAATGTACCGCTATAAAATTGGGTATGGTTTTTAGCTGCTGGACTTGGGATAACCAAATTCATCTAAAGATTGCTCCAAATATTACAGAAGGTGGATTATCAAAAGGGTTATGGTAGCAATGGCTGTATTAGTCCCACTTTTAGGCACTAGAAATGATCCAGGTACATATCCCACCAAGGCAGCCTATGGAATTCAAATTCAATTATTTCATTTTGGGGGTGATGCAGGTACTGCAACGTCATTAGATGAGTAATCAGAGGCCAGGCCAATGCTCTGGGGAACACGGGTTTTATTTCCACAATGCCAGCTTGTGAAATTTTAATTAAATTCATAATCTGGAACATAAAGCTAATCTTAGTAATGGTGACCATGAAAATATCATTGATTGTTGTTAGCACATCTGCTTCATTAACGTCCCTTCAGGAAGGAAATCTGCTGTTTTTACCTGGTCTCGGCCACACGTGACTCCAGAACCCCAGTAATGTGATTGATTTTAACTGGACTCTGAAGTAGCCCTTGTATTTAAGAAATTTGATCACATCACAAAGCCAATTATTAATGCATGATAATAAGATGCAGAGCTGGATGAACACAGCAGGCCAAGCAGCATCATAGGAGCAGGAAGGCTGTTGTTTCGGGCCGAGACCCTTCATCAGAAATGGGGGAGGGGAAGGGGGTTCCGAAATAAATAGGGAGAGAGGGGGAGGCAGATAGAAGATGGATAGAGGAGAAGATAGGTGGAGAGGAAACAGACAGGTCGAAGAGGCGGGGATGGAGCCAGTACAGGTGAGTGTAGGTGGGGAGGTAGGGAGGGGATAGGTCAGTCCAGGGAGGACGGACAGGTCAAGGGGGCGGGATGAGGTTAGTAGGTAGGAGATGGGGATGCGGCTTGAGGTGGGAGGAGGGGATAGGTGGGAGGAAGAACAGGTTAGGGAGGCGGGGACGAGCTGGGCTGGTTTTGGGATGCGGTAGGGGGAGGGGAGATTTTGAAGCTTGTGAAATCCACATTGATACCATTGGGCTGCAGGGTTCCCAAGCGGAATATGAGTTGCTGTTCCTGCAACCTTCGGGTGGCATCGTTGTGGCACTGCAGGAGGCCCAGGATGGACATGTCGTCTGAGGAATGGGAAGAGGAGTTGAAATGGTTCGCGACTGGGAGGTGCAGTTGTTTATTGCGAAACGAGCGTAGGTGTTCTGCAAAGCGGTCCCCGAGCCTCCGCTTGGTTTCCCCAATGTAGAGGAGGCCACAACGGGTACAGCAGATGCAGTATACCACATTGGCAGATGTGCAGCTGAACATCTGCTTGATGTGGAAA